TATTATGCTCAGTGAAATAAGCCAGGTGGAGAAAGATAAGTACCAAATGATTTCACTCATATGTGGAGTATAAGAACAAAGAAAAAAACTGAAGGAACAAAATAGCAGCAGAATCACAGAACCCAAGAATGGACTAACAGTTACCAAAGGGAAAGGGACTGGGGAGGATGGGTGGGAAGGGAGGGATAAGGGGGTGAAATAAAAAGGGGGCATTACAATTAGCATGTATAATGTGTGTGTGGGGCACAGGGAGGGCTGTGCAACACAGAGAAGACAAGTAGTGATTTTACAGCATCTTACTACACTGATGGACAGTGACTGTAATGGGGTTTGTGGGGGGGACTTGGTAAAGGGGGGGCCTAGTAAACATAATGTTCATGTAATTGTAGATTAATGATACCAAAAAAAATGCTAAATAATATACCAGTGTCTGCCACGTATCACAGTTTATTATCCACTTATTCATTCACCTACTGAGGGACATACTGATTGCTTCAAGGTTTGGCAATTATGAATAAAGCTGTATAAACATTTGTGTGCAGGCTTTTGTATGGACAGAAATTCTCAATTCTTTTGGGTAAATAACATTAAGTATAATTGCTAGATATATGTTAAGTTTTATGAGAAACTGCCAAACTGTCTTCCAAAGTGGCAGTACCATTTTCCCTTCCCACTAGCAATGATGAGAGAGTTTTGTTGTTCCACATCCTCACCAGCATTTGTTGTTCTGAGTTTTGGCCATTCTGATAGGTCTGTAGTGGTATCTCATTCTATTTAATTTGCATTTATTTGATGACATATGATGTGGAGTATCTCTTACATACCACCACAACTGTTCATATCTAGAACTCTTCATCATGCCGAACAGAAACTCTGTTCTGGGTGTTTTTACAAGTTTTTAGGTTATCTGTTTACTGCTGGTGAAGGGGTGGTAGAAGGACATTTCAGGTGGAAGGCACAGAAAGTGAAAAGGATGGAGTATTAAAAGAGTTAATATCTGAAAAACAACAGAATTTAGTGTACAAGAACCAATTCATAGATGGTGTGATGGGACACGATATGAAGCTGATAAAATGGATTGTGCAGGCCAAGCTTATACCATTAGAGGTAATGGGGAAAGTTATAAATAAGAAATTGAGTTGTTCAGTTCGTTATTTAGAAGATAACTCTAATAAAACAGGGAGATCTTAAAGAGAGATCATTCCTACACTGCATATTTTCTGATGTATAAAAAGTTCGTTGATATTTCTTGTCTAGTTTTCTAGTTGTTTACAGTAGGATGTCAAATCCTGTACTAATTCTTCCTTCACAGGTACAAGTAGAGGTCCAGCATAGGGTAGTTACTAAGTTCCATCATGGGACTGTATGTGATTGCTTAAGAGACTACAGACCCAGAATAAAAGGGAACCAGATGTGACAGTACAGGTAAATCTCAACTTCTAAGGAATAGTTAGAGCAAGGACTAGTGAAGGGAATTAAGAGTTCCTCTTGTTTGTCAAATACCTTTGTTTAAATGATCTCTGTTATTACTGATTCCAGATCATGGATCAGCAAATTACAGCCTGCAGGCAAATCTGGTCTACTGCTTACTTTTACAAATGAAGTTTTACAGGAACAGAGGGATTATCTTGGGCTGCTTTGTGCTACAATGGTGGAGTTGAATAGTCATTGTAGAGACAAAGCCTTGAATATATCCTGTGTACACCTTTACAGAATGTTTCTTAAGCCCTCTCCTAAAGTATGGTGGGGACTAAACAATGAAAAGAGCATGCGATCAGGCAAAAGAAGAAATATCACAGGAAGCCAAGGCAGGTGAACATGTAAAATAAAATGCCTATTAGCTCTAGAAATGCTCCGCTGCCCATTATCCATTGTTTAGTTTGTCACTCTTCTGACAATATACATGAAAATGATTACTAACATGAATTAACTATAGCAGTTAGCCAAAATACCCCAAGGAAATTATGATTTTTTATAACCTGATTGTTACATTTATTTTCTATTTTTTGGACAATGACCATTTGTTTTTACTGCTAGAAGGATTAAAATTTTAATTTTACAGGGGAAAAAAGTAATGACTCTGTAACATTGATCAGATCAAAGGCTTAAATCACCTTAAAGTTTACACAGCAATTTTTCAATAGTTATTATATTTTCTCAAATTTCTTTGACAGAAAGAGTTGCTGGCTCCCAAGACAAAACTTTTACCAAGAAAAACAACGAACAGAAATATTAAAGTGTTTCTCAGTCATCTGCATACCATTAAACTACTTACACAGTGATGTTCCTGAGTATTTTTTCTATTCTAGAGCTTTGCTTTGACACCTTAACCCTGCAAGCTCTCTTAACATAGTATAAAGACTAAGGTGGAGTATGTACTTTATAAGCAGTTGTCTTCCTTGTGTTGTTAGTGAAATTAACTTAAGTACTCTCTCCCCACCTTTTTAAAAAAAATCAAACAATGTACCCACGTGTTCAACTCACCCTACTTCCTTTTCTCTCAAGGAAAAGTCTAAAATTTTTTAGTTTTTTAACACTGGCAAAAATAGCAAATGAACAAGAGAGTAACTGGAAGAACTGCTACCTCCAAAGCCTGGCAGAAGTATTAAATTTTTGCTTCTCAAACATTTCTGTATGTGCTTAGATTGGGGAGGAAAAATTTTCCTCTATCCTTCAAGGTTATTATAGCTGGTCTAAGGATCGAACTGACATGAAACAGTTTAACAGGAGAAAAAAAACAAAGTTTAATTATGTGCGCAGGGAGGCCCAATGATGAAATTGAGACCCAGTGAAATGACCAAAGCAGGCAGCTTTTATATATTTTAGACAAAGAAACAATAAATCTGTAAAGAATTGATATGCTGAAGAAAACTTTGGGAGCTTAAATTAGTAAGGAATTTTAAATAGCATTTGGACTTGGATAGTAAATTAGTACACAAGTAACAGGATTTGTTCATATGGCCTTCTGGGATCTAAATCCCCTGTCTCCAGTGTCAGGGAGCCTTCTACCATCCAGGTGCAGGACGGGAACCCTTCACATAGATTTATTTCCTGGTTTCAGTGGGCAGCAGAGGAGGGTCAGAGCATCCTCCTACAACCAGCCATTTCTCCAGTTGCTTTAATTCAAAGGAATCAATTGTCCATGATGGCACATTTTGGGCAGATTGCCCTTGGCCCCTACACTTAATTATTAAGGACCCTGTAGCCAATATTAATTGGACCTGTAGCCAAATATACAAGGGAACCAAATCAAAAGTTTGAAAGACAGCAGCTTTTCTAGTACTTACTTATGCTTCAATATTCTGAGCACATGGCTGAAGAGTATGAGGACAGAGATCCTTAGAAAACACAAATAGAAAAGGAAAAGAACCACGTATTTACAAAGAATATTGCTCTGAAAAAATGTAATGTAGACTATTATTTGACATGAATATGTGTATGTATACATTCTCTATTTTCCCTTTTGCCCACCCCTTCGTATTTTTCACAGCAATATATCTGCATATTTCTCAGTCTCCTGGAGGTGCCCTAGTGTTAATGGGATGATGGAGCTTTGACAGCCAGGTGTCATTTACTCTCTGATCATGGGCAAGTACTTAAAAAAAAATCCATTCGAGTCTGAATCCCATTTGAGAAATGGAGAGAACAAAAACACCCTACAGAATTGCCTTACTTAACATAAAAACATTTCCCATGTATAAAGCATAAAAATTTTCATATTAGCATGTTTGGCATCTAACAGTATGTGTTAACTTCTTTCCCTGCTTGCATGCTCTTGCAATTACCAATCAAGTGCTTGTAGAAATATAATTTATCTGGGCTCAGAGACTGAAATGAACTCTGTAAGAGGTACCCAGCTGAGTGAAGTGACTTCATTGCTATCTTGGACTTTTCTCAATAATGTTTTTGTTCCACCCAATCTATGGTTCAGTCCTTTCTCTTTGAAGAAAAACAAAAGAGCAAAATGAGAGTTTAATAATACTGATCACTCTTTTGTCATGACAACATTACACTCTCAGCCATTACCATATACCCTTGTGTGTTAACCTTACTGCTGTATAAAATTTCAATTACTGTATATGTGTGTGGGAAATGAATGATTTTTTGGTATATAAGACAATTTAGCTAGGCTGATTAAAAGGCAAAACCTTATTTTAACTGAGTCTGAAAAAGGACACCTAAGAAAAATTGCAAACTTCAAGAGTGACTTTCAGACTAAATAATTCAATAATTAGTTGGTTGGAAATGGTTCCATCTTGGTGCTTATTATCTAGAAGAAAGCAAATATAAAAGTTACTTGTTATTAACACTTAAACTTAAGAATATTAAGTATAAGTAACCAGATAATTTACTATTAAAATGTAATTACATTTTAGAACTCTCTCCTGAATGTTTAAATGTTATTTAGTAAAATTTTCTAAGAAATTTGGTTATTGGAATATGAAATGATTACAAATTTACCAAAAGTTACAGATGTGAACACATCCATGCCAAGAATCCAGAGAATTGATAATCTCTAAGTATATGGGAAATAAATGAAAGAGTAACTTTCCAAATAAACCATGTGAAATGAGAATACAGTGTTCTCAGGATTTTAGATGAGAAAATAGAATTATTTCTTTTGCCTCCCAGAAAGCCCTAGAAAGGACACCTGCTTTCTGCATCCCCAAAAGGAACAGTTACTCCTTATAAAGCTGAGACCTGTATGTCTCTGAGACCAAAGAAGTAGTGCTTCTCTCATTTTATTTTTTTAAAATTTCCAGAGTGATGTTTCTTACCTAGGAGGGTGTACTCTATAAACTTTCTTTTCAGCTTTTAATGAGAGTCCCTGCCATAGAATTTCTCTTATTAATGGAGGTATCTTATTCCTCAAAGGTTTGGGCACAAAAAGATGCAAATCACTGGTATAAAAATTCAGGTACAATAAAACATTGGTTCCTATGGTCTGTATCACATGCAGAAGTCCAATTCTGATTTGCAAAAATTCCAGAAATTCATAGTACTTGAAAAAAAAAGTATTATTTTATTTGTACACTTAAAAAGTTGTATATAGAAACTTACAATACAGTTCTGTAAAACTGAAGAACTGTCAAGGAAAAGGGAAGGTATTACCTTTTATTGATTGATCATTAAAGAAGTTAGAGAAATAAAACAAAAACATAGTAAAATGTTTAAAAAAATTAAAGAACATTTTCCAGGTACAAATTTTATAAATACAAAACAAATTCACAAATTACTCAGAATGCTAAATAAATATCTAGTTAATAAACTCAGACTTAATACCTCCAGTCAGCACTGGTATAGCACTTCAAGGATATAAAATTGGATTCATTCATGTGTAGTGTTGAAAGAATGTGCTCATTAAACAATTCTTGGCATACACTTTTTTTCTAAACTGTGCTATAAGAGAAGATCTATCTACGTAGACAAATCTCCCTTAATACCACACTTCTAAAAAATCATCAATGACAAAATATGTCATAGAAGAAAAACATTTTTCAAGATACTGGGACACATGAACGATCTCAAAATGTACAAAAATCTCTGTAAACCAGTACTGTATCCAGTACATCAAACTTTTAGGTACTGAACAAAATTGTAGCAAAGGAAATCTTTCCTACATTCTCCTGAGTGCTTAATATTAAAATTGAGAATATAGTGCAGGCCACACTTCAATGTGGTCAATCAGTTGTTACTGCTTTATACATATGTCTGCTTTTAGAGTACGATTTAATGTTCCATTTTCATGAACAATTTATTTTCTCAATACATCCTTTAGAAGGACAAAATTTAGATTCGTGACTTTTTTGTAGGTGGTGGTGTGCTAACTTGATCCATATTCCCATGTGTGACGTGGAGTCCAAGTTTTTGAGCCTGAATATGAAAAAATGCTTGAAGCCTAGTTCCAGCTTTTGCTTCACTTGTGTTACGAGGGTTGTACTCAAAGCAGTTCGAAAACATTAACTCAATATCATCGATAAACTCAGCTAGAAAGAAAAAACAACTGAGGTTAGAATCAAAGTACATAAATTATAAATATAATTTTTGTTTGTATCTTATCTGGAAAGGTCATTAAGAAAATGGCAGCCCGCTTTTTTCTTTGGAAATTGAAGACTCTGAAACAAGGTATCAGAACTTAAACTGAAAATTATTAAACTACAAATACTTTAAAATTTTTATTGAAATGTTATAGTTATGTACTTAGAAGCATTATGTAATTATAAAGAACTTCTATTAACATCAGATTTTATAAAATATCTTAACTCATTCAATCCCTATCCATCTTTCACCTCCATACACATAGATAAGCATTTTAGGGACCTCTTGGGGTGCCATCTACAAAATTAGATTAATATGTATCATTTAAGTCAAAGAAAAACAGCCTGTACCTCTGTGAGCGAAAATAATTATCAGAGAAAAACATAAATTACTTACATGCTAATTTATATTCACATTTGTTCACTTTTTCACGAATTATATTTAAGGCAATGGGTTTTTTGATGATGTCATAATAGTCTGGGACCTGTAAAATAATTCAAATACATCTGTCTTTTGGAAAATTTATCAGAGATAAGTGGTCAAATAAATGAAGGTTTTGCATTTAAAGGTAATGAATGTTAACCTCTGAATATTATTCCATTAAAACCACTTAATGCTTTCAGTCATTATAATGTTGAAGAATTCTGTTTGATCCTACAAAAAATGTTAATTTATTATGGTTTTGCTTGTGTGTGCTCTTCCTATCTATCATGTCTCTCTCTATAGATACATATGTATATCTATAAAATTTCTTTAACCAATATTACATTTGTAATAAAGAATAAAATGTATGTAACAAAACTTGAGTGATGTATTTATTTTCTCATAAAAACTACTCAGGAAAAATGAGCTATAGAGTCAATTAAGATTAAATTTTAATAAGATACCATTTGATGTAAACTAATCCTTCATATTCTTGCTCTAGAAATCTTAAGGTAGAATTCTGATGATAACTGATTTTTCATTCAGGACCTTCATCTAATACTTATAAATGAGAACTTTTATAATCTGCTTGTGACTGAGCCTCTCCAATACCTACTCTGCTCCATTCAAAGTACCCATCATTCCCCATATTCTCATTTCTGGGTCTTTAACTAATCATTCCTTCTCCCTGAAATGTCCTAATTCCATTTTTCACTGTTGAAATTTCATTTCTCATCTTTCTTCAATGACCAGACCAAATAGCTCCTCCATGAAAAAACTTTATAATTCCTGTTTTCCTTCCTCTGAAATGCTCAACTCACTCTCCTTTCTTTTCTACATCTGAAAGACCTATAGCTTCTATTACAGTACTGTAATACTGTCCTACCTCTGCTAAATGTTACATTTTGTCACACATATATAAATAACTATAGTACCATCTCAAATCCCTTAGTTACGTTAAGGCCCCTCTGTTATTTAAAAGTACCCATCTTTTACATAAATGTTTCTCAATATGGTCTCTCAATGAGCAGCATTAGATCATCTGGGAATTTATCAGTAATGGAAATGGCTGGTTATCATCTCAGACCTCGTCAATCAAAAATTCTGGGGTGGGGCCCACTGATTTGTGTTTTAACAAGCCTTTCAGGTGATTCTGGTGTATGCTGAAGTTTGAGAAACAGTGTTTTACATAATAGAATACCAATAATAGTACTCCGTTGAATTAACTCTATTCATATTCATTACATAGAATAAAAACATTGAGCTTATTTCAACATACTGTCATTTATAAGAATCAGTCATGAGATTAGAAGGGACTGAGGAGACTATGCTGTGTAACTCCATTTTTTTGCAGTGTAGGACACAACTTTCCAAGTAGTTGAAAAAAAAAGGTTTTTAAAAACAGACAGTGACTAATAGGTGTTTCCACCACCTCAAGGTTGCCATGCCAAATAAATCAGATAATATATATGAATGCATTTTATAAAGTCTAGTAATATCACCTGTATTTTAGAAACAAGTTTCAAAAAAGGCCAGCTGTCATCATGCCGAACCAATTCCACGACAAGTTGTTCAAAAGCAGACAATTCATGAACTCCTCCCTGTCGGCCTGAACTCCTTCGATTCAGTGTCATAGGAGATGATTCTGAATAAGTAATTAAAGTAATTTTAGGTGATGACAAAGCAAAATATTTGATCACAAGTTAAACAGGACATATTACAAAGTAAATTCAAACAGAATATTGACACTTATACACTGAGATGGTAAATTTACGTTCTGAGAGACATGAAACTCTGGACCAAATATTCACTATTTCCCTTTCAATCTTAAAAATTTCCAGTTGGATTAAATATTCATTGAGAACAGATTGTTAAAAAAAAGAGTAATACAAAAGCAAATTCTAGAACATAGAGTTCATGGATTTTTTTTACTCCATTTTACTAAAGATGTTTTCAGCTACAGTAACATGAAAGTAGTACTTCTCCAGTATTTCCTTAAACATATCCTTAGGAAAGTACCCTCTTCAGATCTAGAAATCAGTCCTCTATGCAAATTACTTTGCATAATGGAAAAGCAATTCTCAATGGTGATGTAAAAGAGTATTCTTACAAATTCTTAATTTTTGTTCTTATTCTTAATTCTCTACATAGAATTTTCTTAAAGCAAAATGTTTTTTCATAAAATCTAAAGTCATCTAAGGTGTATGAATTAGGAGAGAAAAGGGTAGTATAGTTCATACATGAATTCAGGTGTTAATCCTCTACTTAAATGTAAACCACACATCCCCTTTATTTGTCCTTAGAACCAGTTTAGTAATTTCACAATCTATTAGCAAGTTTTTTCCCCAACATTTTGAGTAAAAATGTTTCAGGTGTACTATTTTTCCAAATAGCTTGGAGTTCAGAATTGGGGAAGAGCCAAACAGATAAGGGGATGGGAAAAGCTAAATTAGATCTTGGTTCAAAGGTACCTGTCACTCCCGCACAACCCCCAAAACGTGATGACCTGGTAACTGCATAAACAGACTAATTATGCTCCTTTCACTAAGGAATTCCTTAATCCTGTCATGTGTTTGAATAAGGCAATATGATATATATTCAATTCTTCATAGAACAGTCATATTTTTTAAGTTCATTTTTTTTTAAATATCAAAGCTTTATTAACTGACATTAAAGAAAAAAGAAGGACAGGATTGAAGAGATAAATGGGTACAGAGATTATTATATGGATAAAGATTACAATAAATAATAATGATCAGAATAAAAAAAGACAGCTGGTGATCAACCCCTAACAATATTACAGACCCCAAATTCAGTATGCCAGATGCAACATTACCAAATAACCTAATGTAGCTATCTAGGTGATGATGAGTAGGTATATCTTAAAGGAGGAAAAGGCAGCAGAGGATACAGAGACTGTTTAAATACTGGCCAAATCTCTTCATTAAAAACAGAAAACTGCAAATTTCTTATAATTATATTGCTATATTAGTATAAATACTAGTATTATAGTTTGTTTACCTTATTCCCCAAATAGCTGCCCCTTCATTGAATATTATGCTTTAGGTCAGATTGCCTCTAATAATTTTGTATATCTTAGTGACAATCTTTAAAAAATGATCCCAAGTATTTTGACATTCAGTTTTCCTAAACTATCCAATTTTCTTAGGTAAGGATATTTAAATAAGGCTTATTCATACCTGTAGATTGTCTTTTTCTGCTGCTTCTCTTGGATTCACTATCTTGGAGAGAAAGTTTTGAAGCAACATTTAGAGATCTTAATTGCTCACTGGACTTTGTGGCAATGACTCTGAAGTTTGGGAAGTTGGGACTATTTTCTGGTGTATTATTAGCACTTTTCCTGCCTCTGCGTTTTCTACGAGGACTAAGTAGTTCCACAAATACATCTGCTTGCAACGGGCCATAACTCTGGCGAGTAGAACGACTGGCAATTCTTAAAGATTTAGTTTCTGTAGGAGGAGCAGATTTTATCTTTCTTAGGCTTCTACCAGTAGTTTTAGAAGAAACAGTTGTTCTGGGTGTACTCTGCTGATTCCTTGAAGTATATCTTCCAGGATCTTGTTGTTGGCCACGACTTGAGAAAGAAGAACCAAGTCTCCCTCTTGTTTTAATTGACAATCTAACCTGTGGTCTCCCTCGTTTTGGTGGGCTGTAAATATTGTTAGAAAACACAATTATTGTATAGAGCAATGATGAACATATGATTACTACTTTTCCTTTTTCTACTACTCAGCCAGTGGGTTCTATATACATTACTGAGACTTGTCCAGTCAATTCTTTATAAACTTAGAGCCAATAAATTTTTTGTGGAAATCTAAAATGTGTTTTCATATATTTCTTTGTAATGCAAAGAGAATAGTTAATATTTTCTTGGTAATGCCAGAACATCATGAAAATAAAATCATAAATTATGATAAGTTATAATAAAATCCTCAGAACAACCAATAAATGGACTAAATCATATTGAAAAACTTAAGAGTGGTGAACTAATCTTAAAGTGTAAATATTTTGTCTTCTTATGCTTCAGGAGACTCATGTTTCATTACCACGGATACTGAGTTAACTTAGAGTTTTAGCCAATGGCTGCCACTAAAGTAGGCCTTAAAAAAACTTGTGGTTCCTGAATAGCAAGCCAAAAATCTCTCTGCCATCTTCTGATTTTTACTGTAAAATACAAAACTAGATGCAATATTTTAATTGCCTCTAAGTTGTAGATAAGGATAAAACAATCCCATTTAAGCTTTCTTTTATCCATCTCCCTACCACACCTGGACTTCCATATTTCTGAAAATTTTCTAAATTCTTTATCATCTTTGTGCTTAACACAATACTGCCCTTATAAATTACAAAGATGGCTCCTGCTAGTTTGGAGTTATTAAAAAACAACTTGTTTAAAACAGATGTGGCGGCTTTCTCTACTTACCCTCCTCAAACTGTGGCCTTTTTGTACTTTGTCAGTTCTAGTTGCCCTGGCTTCACATTCGCTTTCTTGATTCCACATGAATGGAGTTCAAATGTTAAAAGTGGGGGATGTCTTAGGGACAAATAAAGGGTGATAGTCTGAGGGCTGCCATAGCAGAGATTATCAGGCCCCAAACCCATTCATTAGGCCTGGGTAACAGAGCTTGCTAATAAGCTGCAGGATACTTTGTTGTATGGTAGTATAGAAGTTGTTTCTGGGTGCTCATGTGGTAGGAGTATAAAAATACAAGGTGCAGGCAAGGGAAACAAAATTAAAAATGATTAAGTGGGACTACATCAAACTAAAAAGCTTCTGTACAGCAAAGGACACCACCAGCAGAACAAAAAGGCATCCCACGGTATGGGAGCATATATTTTAAACAATTTATTCAACAACTTATTCAACATCCAAAATATATTAAAAAACTCATACAGCTCAACACCAAAAAACAAATAACCCGATTAAAAAATGGGCAGTAGACCTGAACAGACAGTTCTCCAAAAAAGAAATACAGATGGCCAACAGGCACATGAAAAGATGCTCCACATCACTAATCATTAGGGAAATGCAAATTAAAACCATAATGAAATATCACATCCCTTATACCAGTTAGGACTGCCACTATGCAAAAGACAAGAAATAACAAACGCTGGTGAGAATGTGGAGAAATAGGAACCCTCCTATACTGTTGGTGGAAATGCAAATTGGTGCAACTGTTATGGAAAGCAATATGGAGGTTCCTCAAAACACTAAAAATAGAAATACCATTTGACCCAGGAATTCTACTCCTGGGAATCTACCTGAAGAAAACAAGATTCCTGATTTGAAAAAACATGTGCACCCCATGTTTATCGCCGCACTATTTACAATATGTCCATCAGTAGATGAATGGATAAAGATGTGGTACATATACACAGTGGAGTATTATTCAGCCATAAAAAGAAAAGAGAAATCCTGCCATTTGCAACAACATAGATGGAGCCAGAGGATATTATGCTCAGTGAAATAAGCCAGGTGGAGAAAGACAAGTACCAAATGATTTCACTGATTTGTGGAGTATAAAAACAAAGCAAAACAGAAAGAACAAAGTAGCAGTAGACTCATAGATAGACACTAGAGAAGTGACTAGTGGTTACAAGGGTGAGGGGCTAGTAGGCAGCATGGTAGGGGAAGGAGAAGAGGATTAAGAGGCACAATAATTTGCAATCACAATATAGGGAGGTCATGAGGACAGTAGTACAGCACAGAGAATACACTTAATGACTCTATGTCATCTTACTACATTGATAGACTGCAATGGAAGGGTGAGGACTTGATAATATGGGTGAATGTTGAACCACTGTGTTATATATTTAAAAATTGTGTATCAATGATACTTTAATAATAATCAAAACAAGGTGCTTCCTGGCATCTCTCTCTGTAGACTGCCAAGATCACCAATATTTGGGTATAACTCCTTGAGGAGTAGGAGAAGCACTGGGAAGATGCATTCGTCTTTATTTCGTAAATATCCTCTGGACTGCTTAGTTGTTGCTTTAGGCATATAGTGAAGAAAAATCAACCTTGATGTGGGTCTGAATTGGCTTTACTGTCCAAATTTGAACTCATACTTGATATTATGATCTGGCTAAGCTCACAGAGGTACTATACGCCCTTGGGAATAATTTCAACTGTTCATAATATGTCACAAGGGTAACTTCAGACCACTATTTTACACCCTAAATTAAAAAAAATAATGGACCCCAACCATCCCATTTGTATTTGAATAGCCAAGAGATTGTCTAGTTAAGACTCATGAGTTCTTATTTTATTGCATGTTAGGACTTACCTGACTTCTTCCTCTTCTTGAGAGTCATCTTCATCTTGTTCTACCTCATATTCTTCCTCCTCACTTTGATCCTCTTCATCATCATCATCAACTTCATCATCCTCACCTTCCATACTATCTTCCATCTCTTCATCACTTTCCAAGGATGGTCTCTGTCTAGAGGAGAGTCTTCTAGAACGTTGCTTAGGCCGACACTCTGGACAGAACCAATCTCCTTCAGGCACAGTCTGACAAATCACATAAATGATCATTAATTGTCTGTCCCTCAAAATCTCAATGTCTCAATTCTAATCTGAGAAGAAGAAAAAAAATACCTTGAGCTTTGGGCGAACACAGTAGGTATGATGACCCCGGTCACATCCATCACAAAGCACCATATTTTCTGCATCACCCTTTTTTCGGCATATCTTGCAACGAGCATTCAGTATAGATTTAGACCATATAACACTACGATCCAAGGTGGAGAGATGAAGAAAGACTTGGGACAGACTAGCAGAAGAAAGGAGAGACTCTCTCCAACGGTCCAGGACTGTTTTATAAGAACGCCCACTGTCACTGGCATCTTCAATGTAAAGGGAAAGTGATTAAAATTTCTAGACCTCTCTCAGAACTATTTTCTTGGTAGTTTAAACAGTTTAGATTTTACAGTTTTTCTAATACTTAACAAAAAAGATTATGTTAATTGAAAAAACAAAAACCTCATGTTCAAGAAAATATTTGCTGAGCTACATTTTAATTACCACATAAGGAATTACTTAAATTCATAAATCAAATGCTTGGGGATTTCAATAGTAAAAGAGAAAAATAACTTAGGCAATGTGCTCTCAATCTGGTCTTTGCATCAAATCTTGATCTAATTAAAAAACTGCTTATATATATGATTACAAGTCAGTTACTATTCATTTGAATCAAGAATATTATTTCTTCATTTTCAGATAAAAGACAGACTGCTAAGTTAAATATCAATCATATATGAGGTTTCTTTTGGGGCTGATGAAGATGTTGTGAAATTAGATAGTGGTCGATGGCTTTCCAACTGTGAATATACTAAACACCACTGAATTATACACTTTAAAAGGGTGAATTTTATATATGTGAATTACATCTCAATAAAGCCATTATTAAAAAAATTATGTATAAATACCAACTATATTATCTTCTATCTCTAATGAAGATTATTTTTAAAACAAGGTAATTTAAAAAAATGTTAATATCATCCCTAAAAAAGAACTTCCAGTACCAATATTTACATAGAAATACTTGAAACCTTCTGCTACTTAATAACATCATTCCTTTGTCTTTTGGGCTAAAAAATGTATTAAGTCACTTGATTAGATGCCATTAATCTAGCCAGTCTATCATTTTCACCAGCATGTGATTTCCACCTTCAGTTAATCTTCAATATTGCTACCACTTTAGTTTTCCTAAAACATTATACTTAATTATGAAGGGCCTACCACATCATGTCAAAATTCTGCAAGGTATATGAGACTCCATACATAGTTTGATCCTATTATGCCTTATTTCCTACTATTATCCTTAAATGAAACCTCCTGAGCAGTAGCATAATGGTTAAGAGAATGTGGGTTCTGGAGTCATTCGGCCTTAAGCTGAGTACTAGCTCCCGGTGTGAGCTTGGGCAAGTTACTTTGCCACTCTGTGCCTTAGGCTGCTGGAAAGATTAAATGAGACATGTAAACTGCCTGTCATAGAGTAAGTGCTATTATTATTATCTGTATTATATTGCTCCTCTTCTGTACAGCACTTTATGAGATGTGAAACAAGTCTATTCTATGGTCCCTACTTTTAAGAAATTTTTAATACAGCTGGGAGGATGAAGATACACACAATGAATTGAAGACATAAAGCAACAGACTCGACAAACATTAGTGGATTTTCAGTTACTGTTCTTGTTAGGCAGGGTGAGAGATAGGACAGGAAACCTAGGGCCTACCCAGTGTGGTGAGTCTTGTCTAAAAATCTAGGACACCAAAATGCTACTCCTTGAAGCTTCAGTGTGGGAAAGGGTACCACAAAGAAAGATAGCTAAATATGTAAACCAGTACTCAGCAATATAGAAAGTAAAATCATAATTCTTTAAAAAGTTAAAAATTTACCATGTCTCACACTAGATTGATCTTCCTCGCTCTTTTTCTTGTCCTTTTTTGTTCTATTTCCCTTTTGATCTTTATTAATTTCTGTGTTACCTAATTTCAAATTGATAAAATTAGTTTGAGGATTCTTTTTCATAGCTTAAGGGTTTAACCATAGGCATGACTTTGTAAGTGATGAAAGTATCAACTAAGCAAACAATTCTCATATCTTACCTAAAATAATTAATAGAGATATGATTATCTTCCTCCAGTTAATAAAGCCTAGTTTCATCAATGTGATTAATTGCTGGAATAAAAGAGACATACAAGGGAAAGTGGGGCATAAGTAGAATTTTTATGCCTTACTTGCTTCCTCAAGAAACTGAAACAGTCTCTGAAACTAAACTGGGAAAATTTCTAACAGAGTTAATTTGCTATGTTGAAAAATTATCAAGAGAATGAAGCATTTTAATACATATTACATCTCAAATATTCATAAAATGGAATTCCCTTTTCTCTTCTAGGCTAAGGATACTCTTGATTAATTTGCTCCAAATATTTGAACTATCTTAAAAACCCAGAAGCACCTCCATTGCCTGTTGTTCCATTCAAAACAAACCCTTCAAAGGCTTAAATATGAAATAAGGAGCTGCAGACATCAATTATTCCATTAACTTTTTATGGGACAGCAATGGTAGATGGTAACATCCATATTATAAATGATCAACATTTGACTTTGACCAACACTTATACTAAAGTAAGGTAAGACGAACTTATTTTGCTTATTTTATAAGATCTCAAATTAAAAGTTTCTTTTATATCTCCAGATGAATAAATATTTTAACACTGCTGAATACAAAGCAGCATAAGGAACACTGTCACTCAGCTCTCATATAACCTACTAAATGTAAGGTGTACCATCTCCCAGTATTAACTTTTTTCTTTTGTGTAAGTATTTAATTAGATGTACTGATGCAAATACAAATACACCATTAATTTGATTGGGTCCCCTTGAACTTATAAACAACTTTAATTGATGGCAACTTCGTAAGTGGAAAAATCAGCAGAATTTCATTTTATCCCTTACTGTCCTTCTAGAATCTAGGATTAATGAGTAGCAATAATATATTTATAAGAGCTACATGATTTACAAATAACTTTCAATTGAAATTTTAATTGAAATAATTGTAGATTCACATGCAGTTTTAAGAGATAATAAAGAGATCTTTTGTACATGTAATTTGATTTAGACAGAAAATCTTAACATTGAAGACAGGGAAGTAAGAGTGATATAGCAAACAGAAACTAATTTTTGTGAGCTGCCATCATATATGTATTTTATTTCTTACAACTGCTACTTTCAGTGCGAAAAAGTGAGTTATTAAGCTCATGGTAAAATTACCAATTTACAAAAAATATGAATAGAATTTCAATTTGAATTAAAATAGAATATGCTTTTCAAATTAAAAAGACATTTTACAAATATATTCACATTCCAAAATTTCTCTGATAGCACCATCTATTTAAGTAAACTTTGTTTCTTACTAGTCAGCAAGGTAATACTCAATTTTTAAAGCATTTTATTCAAGTTTTTATCTCAATCTGAGACCAAAAAGATATGGTTATAAAAAACTGTTTCTTCTGGTAACCCACTATTGAGATATAAACTCTCTCAATATCATGAACTATAGTAAGTTAATTCAATATTTCAGAAAGACCATATCACAGGTAAGTAGAGGCAGTATGACATGAAAATTGATTTGGAACTCCAAACACATATTTTCCTAAAGACATAATGATTATGTTCCTAGATTAGTTCCTAAAAGCATATTAATTTCATAAACTGCTTAAACATGATTCAGATAGTATTATTTCTATCATCCTAACCATAAATTATAGGGAATTTTCCTCATCTATGTACCCTTTAACACTTGGTATTTCTGATTTAGTACTTTGCATTGCAGTGGTCAGGTGAGTGATCCATATATTATTAAAACATACTCTTTATGGTGAAGCTGCTCCTTTGGGGGTTCTCTTTTAACAACCACCACAAAATTTATGTATCATTTTTGATTATGCAGGGTCTGGGTAGTTGTAAGATTTGGTACTCTTTCTTTTGATGAAACTTTCACAAAAGGAGGGATTGACAGGAATAGATGAAAAAATATTCATTTAATGAGTATCTAGAATAAGTTTTAAAAAGCAGTGTATACTTAAAATATCTATCTCACTTGAAAGAACTCATTTTAAGACAAAAATATAATCTCCAATTTTTCAAATTAGTCAATTTCATCACATTAGCCTATACAGTTCTATTAAAGGGCAATTTCAAAATCATTTAAATTATAACTAATATTTTGAATTAAAAACAGATACTTACTAAGTGGAGCTTTGAGAAAACGCCGCTCAATGCCCTGCTCTATTTGGAAAAGTGCCATTGCCAGATAATGAACCACGTTGCTCACTGATTGTGGGGTACTTGCATTAGTTGAGACAGTACTTGGTGTTTCTGTTTTTATGCCCAAAAGTCTACAATTAAACAATGAATAGTTTATGATACTTAAAAAACTATTAGTTGAAACTTGAGTCCACTCATTTATCCAAATGCTTACACCTGTGTAAGAAAGTTTCCTCAATTTCAAGCAGCTTGTAGGAAGGGACATAAACATATGAATCACGAGCTAAATTAAATATCAAGACATTTAAGAGGTCAGAAGGGCAAATACCTGGAGGAGGGAAGGTGAATGAGACAAGGTTTAGCGGAAAGGAAGAGAAAGGTTTAGGAAAGATGATTCTGTGATAGGCCTAGAGAAAGAAAACGTTTCTCTAGCAGCATATCTCTATTTCTCTTGCTTCAACTTTTACTGGGTAATGACACTTATAGCTGCCTCCTAACTGGTTCCTTAGTGTCCAGTCTTACTCTCTTTGCAATAAATCTCCATGCTGCAGCTAAAAGGATCATGTAAAAACACAAACCCTAGTCACTTAAAGACTTTGGCACCTCTTCCCTTCTAGCATTATAGCTTCCCCACCTTTTAGGTCTCAGCTGCAGTTACTTCCTCTGCTACTTTCTTTGCTGTCTTCATGTGCTATCAGGACAAGTAGCCTTTTCATGTCCCACATTTACACTGGGTATTAACTTCTACTAGAAAGAACTCTTGCCCTGTTTTATAATTTCTAGCTTAATGTCTCACAACCATTTCCTTTGAGACAATAAACTCCTTAAAGGCACATATTATCTAAAATAACTGAAAAAGTAAAAGTATCTACAGATTCCTCAAAACACTAAAAATAGAAATACCATTTGACCCAGGAATTCTACTCCTGGGAATCTACCTGAAGAAAACAAGATTCCTGATATAGGTTCTTATTAATAGTTCAAATAATATTTAAGTCTACCATAATTTATGGTTTTCCTACAGAAAAGAAACATGGATAGTATAAAGTTACTTTCTGAAATTAATAAAACCTTAAGTCCAAAGACATTTTTTAAACTTAAGAAATTATTATCCTAACAAGTTGTCTTTTGGCTGCATTAGTACAAAGTAGAGTAACATAGAGTCTTGATGTCTTATGAAAATCATTTCAGTGGTTATAAATATTAAAGAACTCATGGTAAGGTTTTAAGACAATTGTTTTGAAGAAAAATAAGCATTTACTTAAAAAAAAAACTTACAATTAAGTGGCAAGGAAAATCCTGTTTGTACCTGTCTTTTATTATGACCTTTGCTTGTTCATCAATTTCCATCTCTTCTACATCTTCATTAACAGTTTTAATTATCCCATTTTCCTTGTTTTCCTCACTCAACAGCTCATACCGTCCACTTTCTAATGCTGATCTCCATGTGTGTCGATCTGTAACCTGTAACAAAATCCAAATTTACTAACTCTGAACAATGGCATATATTGTTCCAAAGAAGTATGAAGTTCAACGAAAAATTCATGAAAATTCTAAAACAGATTGTGAATCAAAAAGGGATCTAAAAATAAGGTTACTAAATGGCCAACATGGATTTGTATCATTCATAGATGGAAGCTTTGGTATCTCACTCTCTATATAAGGAAATCATAAACAATCCTAAGATTGGTCATCTGATAGTAGCAAAAAAAAGTGACAGATGATAGCAAAGGAATGAACAGAACACACATATCAAACATGAATTACTTACAGATTTTAAAAAGGTAACAAAGAAACCAATAAACAAACCAGACTCAGCAGAGCAGGCAGGAGCTAGTCAAGGAAGAAGAAAATATCCTTACACATTTCAACATCTTGAATGAAAATACCATAAAACAGATATTTAAAAAATACTAAAAATTATTATTAAAAAGGTCAGTTATGTTCATTAAATTCTCTTTAAGAAAGCAGATATAGTCATATAGCATACTTAAGAAAGTTTTCTGTCCATACATTAATATTCTGGTAAAGAGAAATAAAAAATGTGTCACTCCCTTATTATTTATTCAAAACACACATGCCTTGCCTATATCGAATAAATGAACAAATATGACCAAAATTCTGATAATTAGGTAAACTAAAAATGAGAACAGGTACAAACCTTGATTGCTCCTAATGTTCCTTGGTAGATTCTGTCCTCAATATCCAGAAGAAAATCTCTCAGCCTCAATTCAAGCTGTCTTTCTGCAGACATCTGCGATGGATCACATGCACTGGAAGCTCTTCCCCGACTATATGTAGGTTTGCTGTCAGTTTGAGGTTTGTCTGAAATAGTTATCAAATACCTTTATTATGATTTTCTTATTAAAAAATATAATTTCCCCATGTGACTGTTATGATCATGAGATAATGGATATGAAAACATAGTAAATCCTTAAGTGCAAAAAAAAAAGGAGAAATGTGTGCACATCACATATCTGATAAGGGACTTATACTTAGAATATATAAAGAACTCTTACAACTCAGTAAGAAGGCAAATAATACAATAAAAAAAGGGCAAAGGATGTGAACAGACTTTTAAGAGAGATGTACAAATGGCCAGTAAGACCACAAAAAGATCCTCAACATCATTAGTCACTTGGGAAATGCACATCAAAAGCACAATGAAGTACCACCATTTCACATCTCTAGGATGGCTAGAATAAAAAAGTCAGATAGTAAGTGTTGATAAGGTGATGAGAAATTTTAACTCACATACAGTACTGTCAGGAATATAAAACTGTGTGGCAGCTTTGGGAAATAGTCAGACAATTCCTCAAAAATAATTTAACAGAATTACCATATGACCTAGTAATTTCACTCTTAGGTATATGCCCCAAACAAATAAAAACCTACATTGTCAGAAAAGTTGTACACAAATGTTTATAGCAGCATTATTCATAATGCCCAAAAGGTAGAAAAAGAATGCCCATCAACTAATATGTGGATGAATAAAATGTGATATATACATATAATGGAACATTATTTGGCTATAGAAAGGAATGACATAGTGATATATTTTACAACTTGGATGAACCTTGAAAACATTATGCTAAGTGAAAGAAGCCAGTCACAGAAGATCAAGTATTATATAATACCATTCATATAAAATGTTTGGATAGGGAAATTTACTGACAGAAAATAGAGTTGTGGTTGCTTAGGTCTATGGTGCGTGGTAGCTAAAGGGTATGGGGTTTCTTTTTTGAGGTGACGAAAATGTTCTAAAATTGTGTGATGGTTGTACATATATGTGAATATACTAAAAACCACTGAACTACGTACTTTAAATGGGTGAATTTTATGGTGTAAGAATTAAATCTCAATAAAGTTGTTAAAAAAAGTTGTGATCTGTGTATGGTTTTAAATCCTGAAGAGAACTGTAGTAGTCATGGAAATTGGCTCCTAAAATAAGAGTTCTCTACCTAGAGACTTTCATTTAGTAACATAAAAGCTTACATCACAAACTGCCTTCTCTTAACCTGTTATCCATGGACCAGCCATCAAACAGGAAATGTTACTATCTCATCTGCCCTTGCAGCCTATCTCCAAAGAAGTGGTAACTAATGGAACATGTCCCTGGACCCTCAGCCAAAACCCTTAGAGAGTGACCTCACTATCAGATGTCTAAAACTGATGGTGACTTTAGGGTCTTGGGTATTCATCTATTAAGGAACGAGATCAGGAAGAGTATGTGTATCTCACATTGCTAGATGTGTGTTCCTCATAATCCAAATGGAACCCAGTGGAACCTAGAGACCCTTGTTTCTCAAACTGGCAAACTTTCCCTAACTCACAAACTGACAGCATGGTCCTCTCAGTTTGAAAGATAAAGTGTTTTAAATACAGATTTAATCGTTTGAAAAATGTTTAATCCTGAGCCAGAGATTATGGGGTGAGAAAAATAAAGGAAGTAGTTTTCATTGAAGATTTACCTGAAAAATGAAGTTTCTCTTCAGAAAAATGGGCTAGCTGTGTACATATCCTGTTTTTTTCTTGCAACAAAGTTTCTTTTAAGGCACTTTCTCTATATCCTCTAGAATTAAGAGCTTCAATAAGCTGGTCTAGCTGTTCACAAGAACTGTAAAAGCACCACCGGTTTGGCTTACGCACTGGTTTTGGCAGCTGCACAGAATCATCACATAGACCTTGGTCAATGCTGGAGGTAGATTCAGATGTCAAAGATGTTCCAGTTTTAGTGGATACCTGAGGATCTTCAGACTGTACATTATTCTGAAATGATGAAGGTCTAGGCAATAGCATGTCTTCAGTGAGACCAGAATAATCCTCTTCAATAAACAATCCAGGAATAGAATGGAAAGTCCAGTATCGTCTATACATACGGTCACGGCCCAAGGGAAAGATATTGGTACATGCTATGGCACTTTGGATTTTTTCTAAGAGCTCTTTTTCTTTTCGTTGGTGTTCCTGTTTTAAAGCTTCTTCCTCATCAGTAGTTAGAGGCTCTCTTGTTTCGCAGTTGACCTCTTCTTGCCTTGTAAATTCTTTGTATTCATTTTGCCCCCTTTCCCCTATAGTTGAAACATTTGATCATCATTATAAAACTTTCATTAGAAAAATATGATACAAAGCTACTCTGAGTTACTATGTATTGTAGACTAAATTGTATGCCCCACAAATTCACAAGTTGAAATCCTAAATCCTAATGTGACTATATTTGGAGACAGGGTCTTTAAGGAGGTGATTAAGTTTAAATGAGATAATATGGGTGAGGCCAAAATGCAGTGGGACTGATTGCTTATAAGAAGAGAGACTATAGCACTCTCTCAACTTGTGGGCACACAGGACGAGTTGTGTGAGGGCACTTCAAGAAGGTTCTATCTGCAAGCTGAGGAGAGAGGCCTCTCCAGAAATCAACCCTGCTGGCACCCTGATCTTGGACTTTCAGACTTCAGAACTGTGAGAAATAAGTTTCAGTTGTTGAAGCCACCCAGTCTGTGGTATTTTGTTATGGCAGCATGAACAGACTAAAACACTATGTTAATAAGAAAGTGGTACACATAAATATAAAGGGATACATATAAATCTTCCATCTCCATACTGGAAAGTAGCAGGGTCTTTTACTCATTCTGTAACATATTCAGTCTTTTCCCTAAGGTAGGAGTCAGCAAATTACTTTTAAAAAGGGTTAGCTAGTAAATATTTTAGGCTTTGTGTGTCATCTGGCTTCTGTCATAGCTGCTCAACTCTGCCACTGTAGCGTGAAAGCAGCTGTAGCCAATATGTAAATGAATGAGCACGGCTGTGTACAAAACTTTAGTCACTGTAATCTGAATTTTGTAATTTTTGCATGTCACAAAATATGTCTTTTTGATATTTTTCAACTATTTAAAAATGTAAAAACCATTTTTAGTTTATTGGTCATATAAAAACAAGGGACATGGTGGATTTGGCCAATAGGCTGCAGTTTACTAACCACTTCTTTAAGAACTCCTAATTTTTAGCTGGGCACCTAGGAAAGAAGGACATTTCCTAGACCCTCTTTCCCCAGGAGGTATGGCTACATGGGAAACTTCTGGTCAAAGAGAATGGAACAGAAGCATTATATGTAACCTCTGGGTTGTGCCTCTCTTTCTTCTTTCCCCGCTCCTACTAGCTAGAATGGAGACATGGAGATACACCATTTTGGAACATGAGGATGGCAGCAAAACTCTAAGGATCACAGCACCAACAAGACAGAACAAGTGTGGATTCCTGGTGACCTGCCTAGCCTTTTAGGCTGTGTTCAAGAACTAAGTGTCTCTCTTGTTTCAGTCACTGTCAAATTGCTTATTAAATGGCTGGGAATATTTCTTCTATTTATTTTGCTTGAAAGAGTTTGTGTAAGATTGGAATTATCTGCTTCTTTAAAATACGGCAAAATTCACCCGTAAAGTTGTTTAGGACTGATGTTTTCTTAGTAGGAAATTTTTTAATACTGATTCAAGATCTTTAAATGGCTTAGGGCCATTCACATTTTTAATTTTTTCATGAATCCATTTTCATAATTTGTAGTTCTCCAGGATTTTGCTAATTTCTACCTCCATTTTCAAATTTGCCATAAAATCGTATTACGTGGTTCCCTTATCTTTAAATTTCTACTCCATCTGTGGTCATGTCTCTTCCCTTGAGTCCTCAGTTTGTTTATTGTGACCACCCTCCACCAATCATATCACAAAAGGTTTGTCTAGTTTGTAGCTTTTTTTAAAGAACGAACTTTTTGCTTTGTTTTTCTTCACTATTCTAGTTTTATTTTCTATTAATTTCTACTTGTATCAATTCTTTCCTTATATTTGGGGAGATTATTCTATTTTCTACCTCTAACTTCTTAAATGAATGCCTAGCTCAATTTGCCTTCATTCTTTCCTAATATATAGTAAAGCTATAAAAAAATATATATGCTTTCCTTTAAATAGAGGGACTGTATCTTCCAGGAGTTAATATGCAGTATTGATTAGTTTAAAACATTTTCTAGTTTCTATAAGAATATAGTAATTTATCCTCCATTTACCCCATGGTCCCAAGCACATAAGCCGGTGAGACTTGCCTCACCTTATCTCTAAACATCCCGACCCTCCCCCAAGGCAAAAGGCCAAGCGGATCCACCACAATAAAATGCACAACTCTGCACCACATTGCTCTCTCTCTCTCTCTCTCTGTCCCGCTGTTCCCTCTCTCTCTTTCTCTCCACCCACCCCCAACCTCTGGGGGCAGCCACTTTCTCTTTCAGATAATAAAATCTCTTGCATGGGCCCATGTCTCCTGAGTTGTTCTGGGTAAGGAGGGTTGTGGTGAGATACCCTTTCATTGATGACGTGACTTTGGATGAGGCTCTCCCATTGACTTTGCTCTTCCTCCAGGAACCTGAGCTGCTTTGGAACCCTCACTGCCCGATCCTCCTCCACGGACTCACTGCCCATTTCCCCAGTCGCTCGTCTTCTCACCCAACACTAGCCTTCGATTTGGTGAGTCTCCCCTTCATGGTCGACTTAAATGTCCCTTTGGAACCTGGGAAGTGACCATTGAGTGTCCGGCACCCCCAAAGGCTCCTCTGGGACAGGGGCACCCCCAACCATGACTTTCAGAGTCATGGTTGATCCCCATAGTCGACCTTTCTCTGCCTCCCCATGGTGAGAATCCTCATTCACTGAGGCCCGGTCTCCCTTTATCTACATACCTACTCTACTCGTAAACTCCTGGTACCAGGTACTGAGTGTCCTCGGCGTTTTCGCCTCGACCCCGTGGTTAGAGGTGGTGACGACCCCCTAACTGTGCCTGGTCTTCTCCGTGACCTTCTCAATCACTCAGGGATGCCTCAGTGACTTCTGAACGGTCTCGTTCTCACCATGGGATCTGGCCCCTCCGTTCCCGCAGATTCACCATTAGGGTGCTTACTCAATAATCTAAAGCCCCTTCACTTCACTCTAGACCTCAAACCTTTTCTGCTTGTTCACTACTGTAATGAGATCTGGCCACAATATCCCTTGGACAATCAGTCTAAATGGCCCCCCAATGGCTCTTTAGATCCTAAAATTCTCCGCGACTTACACAACTTCTGTGAGCGTACGGGCAAATGGAAAGAGATCCCATACATCCAGGCTTTCTCCTACCTCCGAACTAAGCCCTCTCTCCCCCTGCAATCCTAAACACCTACTACTTGCCTTAAGGTCCTCATCCTCCAACAAACCAGATCCCACTTCATCTTTTGACTTTGACCCCACTGACAAATCCCCACCCTACCAACCCAAAATCCCCACCCTCCTCTTTCTCCTCCTCCTCCTCAACCACCCAGTCTGCACGGTGCCACCACAGAAACTGCCCAGCCTCCTCCCCCTCAATCCCCACCCAGTTTCCCACCACAAGCTCCTATCAGGGGCGGGGCAACAACCCCGCCTCCTCTACTTCAACCAGTTTCCCTCCCATCCTGAGATCCCCTACCAAGTCTTGCTGTCACTCGTTCTCCAACACATCCTAGCCCCACTACGGGAAGTAGCCGGTACAGAGGGTGTCATCCGGGTGCATGTCCCTTTCTCTCTCTCTGACCTATCTCTAATTGAGAAAAGATTAGGCTCTTTCACTTCCAACCCAGCTACTTACATAAGAGAGTTCCAGTACCTAACTCAGTCATATGGTCTTACCTTTCATAATATTCACATGATCCCATCCAACACACTTTTGCCCGAGGAGTGTAGGTGAGTGTGGGAACAAGCTAGAACTCATGCCGATGAGGTTCACCAAACTACTCCAGCTCATCCAACAGGTGCTGAAGCAGTTCCTGACCGAGACCCTAATTGGGCCTATAATACAGCAGGGGGAGTCACCAATCAAGACCAATTCATCACCTGCCTTGTGGGTCTCAGGAAGTCAGCCAATAAGGCCGTTAACTATGAAAAACTCCAAGAGATTATTCAGGATAAAACTGAGAGTCCCTCTATGTTCCTAGACTGCCTCACCAAAGCTCTTTTACAATATACAAAGCTAGACCCTGAGACTCCAGATGGGAGACAATTATTAAAGACCTACTTCTTCACCCAGAGTTTCCCCGACATTAAGGCTAAACTTAGACGTCTAGAGAAGGGACCCTTAACTCCTCAGGCAGAAGTCCTGGCAGTGGCCTTCAAAGTATATAATGGAAGAGGTGAAAAGGCCCGTAAACAAAAATATCAAATGATGGCTAAGGCCTTTCAACCTACCCCAACCACTGGTACTCAGGTATCCTCACCTCCTAGGAAGCAGCCAGGAGGACCCTCCTGGTCCATGCTTCAAATGTGGTCAAATGGGTCATTGGGTCAGAGCCTGCCCAAATCCCTGGAAGCCCCCAGGTCCATGCCCTAAGTGCCATCAGGAGGGACACTGGGCTGTTGACTGTTCTCACACACCGAGAGGTGCCAGGCCATCCAGCTCTACACTCCATACACAGACCTTCTAGGTCTGGCAACTGATGATTGAGGGGGCCCGGGACTCCTACACCTGACCACTACCATCACTGTACAGGAGCTCAGGTAACCATTGTGGTAGCGGGTAGGCCCATCTTTTTCCTTTTGGACACCAGGGCCACCTACTCAGTCCTGAAGGAGTTTTGGAAACCTCCCTCCCTCTCATAGTCCTCTGAAGTCGGGGTAGAGGGCACACCTCATCAACCTTTACAAACTCCCATGCTTCACTGCATCTTTAGAGGCATTGCCCTCTCTCACTCCTTTTTGGTGATTCCCCAGTGTCCCATCCCCCTTATGGGAAGAGACCTATTATACAAGGTTGGAGCTTCCATTACTTTTGCTCCTGGACCACGCCTCAACCCCAATTCGCCTTCAATCCCACTGTTACTCACCCTTCAACCCGCTGCAAACCCACCTCCTTCTCCTTTTCCTCTGCCTACCCCATCTGGTCAACCCTGTAGTCTGGGACACCCTCACCCCTTCTGTCGCCACTTTCCCCCCAGTAATTGTCAGACTTAAAGCCCCCGCCTCTTTTCCCTCTCATCCTCAGTACCTGCTGCCCCTCAAGAGTTTACTGGGCCTGCAGCCAATTATCCAGGAACTTTTATACAAACGGCTACTACGACCAGCCAATTCCCCTTTCATGACTCCTCTACTGGCAGTTAAAAAGCCTAATGGTTCTTACAGGCTTGTCCAAGACCTAAGAGTAATTAATGCAGCTATTGTTCCCATTCATCCTGTGGTCCCTAACCCCTATACTGTATTGTCCGCCATTCCTGCTTCCACCACTCACTTTTCTGTCCTTGACCTCAAAGATGCATTCTTCACTATCCCCCTCTATCCTGACTCTCAAAATCTGTTTGCTTTCACCTGGACCAATCCTGTCACCCAAACTTCTACTCAATTAACCTGGACAGTCCTTCCCCAAGGCTTTAGAGATAGTCCCCACCTTTTTGGACAGGCTCTAGCACAAGACCTCAAATCCCTTATTCTCTCGAGCTCCACCCTCCTTCAATATGTAGATGATCTTCTCCTGTGAAGTCCTTCCTGAAAACCTCTCAACAGGATACTATCCTCCTTTTAAACTTCCTCTCAGAACATGGCTATCGGGCTTCACCCTCCAAAGTTTAGCTGTCTGCCGCTCAGGTCACACATGTGGGAGTTCAGCTCTCCCCAGGCTACAAGGCCATTACCATAGACAGGAAACAACTTCTCCAAACCATGCCCATTCCAAATAACAAGGATGAAATTCTCTCTTTCCTGGATCTTGCTGGGTTCCTTCATTCATGGATCCCCAATTTTTCACTCCTGGCTGCCCCCCTATATGAAGCATCCCAAGGACCTCTTGCTGAGCCCCTCTTGATGCCCGTAGCTAAGACCTTCTATAGACTCCAGCTGACCCTTCTACAAGCCCTTGCTCTGCACTTGCCTGATCTCACACGTCCCTTTTCTCTATATGTCTCAGAAAGGCAGGGCTTTGCCCTGGGACTTCTGGGACATATGTTAGGACCTTCCTTTGCCCCGGTTGCCTATCTTTCCAAAAAACTAGATCCTACTATTTGGGGATGGGCTCCTTGCTTGCGAGCCCTAGCAGCAGCTGCCGTCCTCATTCAAGAATCCAAAAAACTCACCTTTGGGTCAACCAGAACTGTTTTCTCCCCTCGTCTTCTTTCTGAAATCCTTACCTACAAAGGCCTGCAGACTCTTTCCCCCTGCAGGATTCTATCACTTCAGGTTGCCCTAGTTGAAGACACCTCCCTCAATTTTAAAACCTGTGCTCCCCTTAATCCCTCCACCCTTCTTCCATTACCTCCCAATCTACAGGCAGGATCACAACTCCCCTTCCATAACTGTTTGCAAACTCTAGACGAACTCCTCCCCTGTCCCTCCCACATTCAGAAGGGTGCCCTTCCTCAGGCCACATATACCTGGTTTACTGATGGCAGTTCCTTTATCCATGAGGGTCTTCGATGGGCAGGATATGCCATTGTCTCTCTGGACAAAACTATTGAGGCAAAGCCCTTACCTCCTAACACTACAAACCAACAAGCAGAACTGATTGCCTTTACCCGAGCCTTCACTTTGGCGCAGGGGTCCTCTCTTACTGTCTATACTGATTCTAAATATGCTTTCCATATCCTTCTGTCCCATGCAGCAATCTGGAAAGAACGGGGACTCCTCAACACCAAGGGCAGCTTTATCACCAACGCCAAACACATTATACCACTGATAGAAGCCTCACACCTTCCAACAGCCATAGGCCTAGTACATTGCCGCTCCCATGGGTCAGGTCAGTCATCCATCTCCCTTGGTAACAACAGGGCAGATAAGGCAGCCCGAAAAGCAGCGTTAGTCCTTGTAATAAGTGCCCTCGTTCCAAGCCCTAAAAAATCCATTTCCACAACTACTGGCCCGCCTTCCACTGAGGCCATACTCTCCTGCTTACATCACTTATTCCACCCTAACCTCCAATCTTTACGCTTTCTCAAAACTTACCTGCCTCTTTCTCATTCAGAAACTGCCTTCCTCAAAACATTCACCACTTCATGCGAGATCTGTCAAAAAGTCAATCCCAACTCACCTTCTCAACCACCCACCTTTCCTACCCATCAAGCAGGGCTCATTCCCGGGACTGATTGGCAGCTCAACTTTACTCACATGCCCCCAGTAAACCACCACCGGTATCTTTTAGTACTGGTAGACACATTTTCAGGATGGGTTGAGGCCTTTCCCACAACTAACAAACGAGCCCAGACTGTCTCCAACATCCTACTGTCTGAAATTATCCCACGCTTTGGGATACCTACTTCCTTACAATCAGACAATGGCCCCGAGTTTATCTCTCAAATCTCCCAAGCAACCACTAAGGCCCTTAATATTCCATGGCATTTTCACATCCCCTATCACCCACAATCCTCAGGTAAAGTGGAAAGAACCAATAGAACCCTCAAATATATCCTTACTAAATTATCCCTGGAGCTCCACCTTGACTGGATAAAACTCCTCCCCTTGGCCCTACTTCGACTCTGGGCCTTGCCAAAAAAACCTGCTACACTTTCTCCTTTTGAACTCATGTATGGCTACCCCGTGCTTCCTCAGGTCTCAACTCTGAACCTCCTATCCTTCCTCCTCATCTTGTCAACCCTTTACTTCAACACATTCGCTTTCTACTCTGGTCTCACGCTGACCTCTATACACCAAAACCTCAAGACCCCACTTCTCCTACTTTTTATTACCCAGGAGACTCTGTGCTCCTATCCCTGCCACACCAAGCAACACCATCCCTAACTCCCAAATGGCAAGGACCATACACAGTAATCCTTTCCAAGCCAACTGCAGTTAAACTTCAAGGTCTTCCCCACTGTATACACAACTCCCACCTTAAGCCGTTTGTCTCCTCTTATTCCCCTCCCACAGGTTCCTACTCCTCCACCCCGACGGGACCTCTTACTCTCCACATTTCATGCTGCTCATCTCCACTTCCACTCAACACTGAAGAAGTTTCTGCCAGCACCGAGTTCTAAGACCTCCCTTACAACTGCCATGTGTCATGCCTCAGGATTGTTAACCCTGGTCGCAACACTTATTCTCTCACCAGACCTATCTTCCCAATGCCAGCCCTTTCTTCTCTTGCAGACTGTCCAAAAGAGTGTACCATCAAGGATTCCCTTTGCCCTATAGGTTGCTTTTTCTGTCTACACATATGTCCCCCCAAAATGCTATTAATTCAGCCACCCTACGTAAACACAGAAATCAGTCCAAATGCAAAAAATTTCTAACCAAACCTTTAACCAGCTTATATTACAGGATTACCAACCCCTCTCCAAAGACGATGATCCTTATTAAACCTGGAACACACCATTGCTACTGCAGACCAAGGGCTCATCTGAGGACCGCCCCCCATCAATACAAAAATGATCTCCCTTAATCAGCAGGAAGCAGTTACTGAAGACTGACCTTCACCCCTTCCCAAATCCTCTACCACTTATAAAACAGAAAAGGGAGGAATATAAGAATATAGTAATTTATCCTCCATTTACCCCATGGTCCCAAGCACATAAGCCGGTGAGAATTATGCCTGGACTTGCCTGGGGCTTGCCTGGGACTTGCCTCACCTTATCTCTAAACATCCCGACCCTCCCCCAAGGCAACAGGCCAAGCAGATCCACCACAATAAATGGCACAACTCTCTGCACCACGCCGCTCTCTCTCTCTCTCAGTCCTGCTGCTCCCCCCCCAACTGCCCTCTCTCCCTCCGCTCCCCACTGGGGGCAGCCACTTTCTCTTTCAGATAATAAAATCTCTTGCATGGGCCCATGTCTCTTGAGTCATTCTGGGTAAGGAGGGTTGCGGCGAGATACCCTTTCAGTTTCCACTATGGTTTCTACTTTGACCAATTACTTAGAAGTATATTTTAGAACTCTAGTCATACGAGGTTTATTTGTTTTGGATTTCTAAACCAACTGCATTATAATCAGAGAATATAGGTTCCATGATACAAGAGATTTTCTGTCTCTATATAATAACCATTTAGAAAATAATGTAGAAAAGAAAAGACACCATCCAAATTACAAGCATGGAGTAAACTTAAGGATCACCTTCAACAGTTGTCAAATGAAGATGATTAAAGATCTCATAAGTAATTCGTATCAACAGCTTTAAAACAATGTATTCCCTCTGATCCAGAAATTTATTAAATTATTTTAAGGCAGAAGAGATTTCCATTCTTAGCAATATGACACCCATTACAAGCTTTACTGATCTATCTCTACCATCTAAGAGGCATTCAATGTATACTGAATGAATATGTTTTAGAATAAAAATTACTACTTAAGTCTAATGTAGTAAATACAAAAACTCAGTAAGACTCGCTGACTAACCAAAAGTTGAAGTTATGGGGAAATGACCTATTAAAAAGATAATATTATCTCTCTTCTCTAAAGTATAAATGACATGTGAGTAAAAACTTAATAATAAATATACTAATGTAACTTTTAACACCATCTTATAACATAATGGTCACCATTTAAAAAGCTTATCACAGCTATGAGTTGGGCATTTAAAAAGCAAACACACCTTAGAATCAATAGGTAGAATTAATTTAATACATATTTCAGAATAGCTGAATTAATAAAGTGTCTTGTCAACTAAAAACAAGCACATGCCCTTAAGAAATTTCTGTATTACCTCTTCGGCCTCTTTTATGTGATCCTGGGTCATCTTCATCTTCAGTAACTGTATCTTGATCTAGTTCCTTTTGCTCTATTTCTTTGCTCTCAGTGCTAGTATCAAAATCTTCCCTTTCTTCTTCCCTATGGGATAAAAACAAAGATCATATTCATTAATGAATATATAATTCCACTCATGAAATATTTATTGCCTGTCTATGAAGTGCCAGGCATTATGCTTTGGAAGTAGTGGAGAAGACACAGAGTTTATTGTCCTGCAGAGAAAACAGATAAGTAATAATACATAAGCTATCATAAAAATGAAAGTATGTAATAAAAAAGGAGATGTTCAAGGTTCTACGAAACATTTCAAGGAGAACAAATCTAGTCTCAAGGATGAGGAAAGGCTTGCTTGAAGAAACATCAAACTGCGAGACCAGAGACCAGGCAGACTGGGGAGGGGAGAGGAGACAGATGAGAAAAAAATCTCCATTTCTGGCAGAGTGGATTAACATATGCAAAGGCACTGAGCTGAAGGGAAAAGGAAGGAGTCTATAATTTTGATAAAAATGTAAAAAAATATTATTCAGCCATAAAAAGAAATCCTGCTATTTACAACAACATGGTTGGCGCTAAAAGGGTATTATGCTCAGTGAAACAAGCCAGGCGGAGAGAGACAAATGCCCTATAATTTCACTCATTTGTGGAGTGTAAAAACAAAGCAAAACAGCATTAGACTCGGACACTAAGAAGTGACTAGTGGTTACTAAAGGGGAAGAGAGTGGGCGGGGGTGGGGGCAGGGGAAGGAGAACTACTGAACCACTGTGATATATGTTTGATTAAAAAAAAAAAAGTAAAAGAAAAGAAGTAATCCAAGACATGGAAGAGAAAGCCAGGTTTAGATCATCCTGGGCTTTGTAGGGAATTATTCAAAAAGCAATGGGGAAAAAGTAAAAGGGTTTATAAATGGTAGATGGTATGATTAGAAAGTGTTTCAGCTGCTAAGTGGAAAATGATTTGGTAGAGAAAGCAGATGAGGGGAAACCAATAAAAGAGGCCACTGTAATAGTCCAAGTAGTAGGCTGGGATGTGATGGTGGCTCAGAGTAGAAAGGACATTAAGTAGACAAACAGTGGAGGACAGAAAACAAACTTAAGATACAGTAAGTAGGCAAAATGAACACAATGTGAGTGTTTTACCTAATCCATTGTATAGTCCAAATTAAAACAAAAATTGTATCAATCATGAAAGAAATTCACTGCTTAAATTCTACATCCAAAGTGAGGTTTGTAAACTCAAATGTATTTAGGAGCTAGAGAAATAATGAATGAGGCTTAGATGAGTATAAATAAATGTGAAGTGGTGGGATCTATAACATGCCTTTTTAATTTTTTTTAAAAATTGAGACTCACAAGGAATAAAAATATAACTATGTGAGGTGGCAGATATTTAATTATAATCATTTTGTGAATTATGCATATATCAAATCATTATGTTGTATGCCTTAAATACAGTATTATATACCAATTTTATCTCAATATAACTGAAAACCTGTAAAAAAATTAAAGAAAGATATTTCACATACCTTAAAAATTACCATTTTAAAGTGTAAAGTTAGTGGTTTTTAGTATATTCACAATGTTGTGCAATGATTACCCCTAATTTCAGAATATTTTCATCATTCCAAAAGAAAAACCTCATAGTCATTAGTAGTCACTTTCCATTTCCTCTTCTCCACTGCCCCTGGTAACTACTTTGATCTACTTTCTGTTACAGATTTGTCTATTCTAGACTTTTTATATAAATGGAATCATACAATACATTCTCTTTTGTGACTAGTTTCTTTCACTGAGCATGTTTTTAAAGTTCACCCATATTGTAGCTTATACCAGAATTACATTCCTTTTTATTGCTGAATAACATTCTGCTGTACGGACATATCACATTTTGTCTATCCATTCATTAATAAATAGACATGTGGGTTATTACCATCTTTTGGCTGTTAGAAATAATGCTACTATGAACTTTTATGTATACATTTTTGGGTGAATTTATATTCTTAATTCTCTTGGGTACGTATTAGGAATGGAATTGTGGGATCATATGGTGATATATGATTTAACGGAGGAACTGCCAAATTTATCCAAACCAGCTGTAAACTATTTTATAACCCCATCAACAAAGTATGGGAGTTCTGATTCTTCCACATTCTCAGCAACACTTGTTATTGTTCCTCAATTAGATCATAGTCTTCCTAGAGAGTGTGAGGCAGTATCTCACTGTGATTTTTTTTCATGTGCATTTCCCCAATAACTAATGATTTAAGGCATCTTTTCTTGTACTTCTTGTATATACCTTCTTTGAAGAAATGCCTATTAAAATCCTTTGCCCATTTTTTAATTAGTCTGTCTTTTTAGTGTTGAGTTGTATGAGTTCTTTATATATCCTGGATATTAGACTATGAGAAATTGGGGATCAACAGAGGTGAGGCTCAGAACCTCATCCCCCCTGCTTTGAGAGAAATCTTCTGCATC